AATCTCTGAAAGAAAGCTGTGTTTATTTCCTCTTTGATATGTGTAGGATAATCAAGAAGAATATTAGGTGCAAAAGAGGCCTGTGAACTGCACTGTTGTCATCCAGGATGAAAACAAAACAGAAAAGATACAATACATAATGTTATATATGTTAGGTATATAAGGTATGGGTGCACTAGCACTACTCCTGAAACAAACAAATTGAGCACTAGATAATTAATTAAACTAATTGGAAACTTAGTTTTTAACTAATATTTGAAGAAAGTCAAGCTAGCCCAGTTGCTTAATTAGAATTTGCAGATAATGAGATGACATGGCAGGGGTATGGGAGGAGATGCAAGTGACTGAGTTGGTATCACCTTTTTAGGGCTAGCTAGCTAGATGTGGCCAATTCAGCAGGAAGCTGCTTGGAGCTCTTCAAAATTTGGACGCTTGAAAGCTCCTTTTTGTGTAAGAAAATATGTCTGCGTCATACCTTTTCTTTGTCTTGCTTATTTAATTTTCTTCTTGATAAATATAGGTCGGCAGATGTAATATTTTTGCAACAACGAAGGAGACACATCGGATATGAAGCTGCTCAGCAGCTGCTGGTTATATTTAGACGAGTATAACTGTTGGACTAATATGCATGGATTTACAGGTAAAAGAGGAGATCGTGCGGTATCCAAATCAGAATTAACAATGGAAATTATTTTCCAGTAAATTTCACAACACTACAGCTACTTTGATCAATCTATCACAAAACTACGGATTTAATGTCAGTTTTATCACCTTTGTAACATCAATATTGTATGGACATAAACTCTAAAATGTGTAATTCTCTGATAATTTCATCATTAAATCTGTGATACGATATATATATTAAATATGTAGTTCTGTGATGATAAATTTTGTACTAAATCTGTAGTTTTGTGATACACATATTTAAATCTGTAGTTTTGCAATAGTTTGATTAAAGTATATGTAGTTTTATGAAATTTAATTTACTCTATTTTTTACTAACTGGTTTTGATATATCTAGGAAATTCTAGTGAAATTTATTGGCCGGAAATGCACTCTACCATCAAGCTAAGAGGCATCCATGCATGCATGAAGTGAAACATGTAATGTTCTTACTTGTTATTTTGGATACCGACATTATCTCAAGAAGACGCGAATATTAGGGAAAGTCCTAATATCAAATAATTAAAAGGAGTGAGGCTTTAAACCCAGGTCGTCTAGCCCATCACCTTGTAGAGCTAGCCGGAATACTCTGGGCGTTTCTCCACCGACATTATCTCCAGTGCAGATTTAAAGCTATTAGAATATAACTACACGATGTTATTTTTCATGAAAATCGTCTACTAGTATGTTTTTACATACTAAATCTTAATATTTTTTTTGCATATTTTTATTTTAGTTATGCATAAGATTTCGAGATTTGGCTGCATACGTCATAGATGACGTCTGTTTGTAAACACAGAGATCAACGTAACTCTTTTGTATTATCTTACCCCCATCCAATTCTAAATGGTGCATGCATGCCTAGATACGCATGCGAATATAACTTTTCGATCTCGATCATTTGGAAACGTACAAGGCTATAGCGCGTTGTAAACGATGCCATATATATTTGAATACCAACCAACTTTCACTCCATATATCTACAGTTAGACCCTCAGATGCCCATGACAAACACAAGAGTTGTACAGCAAAGCTTTTGAGCTGTGCATGCCTTTCTCCTAGTTTATTGGAGATCCTCAGAACGAGATCATGATTTGCACAAAAGAAGTTCACAAAGTTGGGAGAGGAGGAGGAGAATTTTTGGGTAGTTGGTAAGCTCAAAGGTGGCATGGTGAGGTGGAGACCTCAGCTTGCATATTGAGGATCAAGATGACTAGCAACAACACACACTAGTTGGATAGGGAATCACAAAAAAAGGCATCATCAGCTAGCTTGATCACAGTTTAATCTGTGTCTGCATCGATCACTAGATGTACAGTGCAAATGCTGGCAATGCACTGTAAAGGAAAAGGGACCCATCTGCAGGTTGCTGCATGCATGCATGCAATGCTGACTAGCTATCATTTTACACTTGGAATTTGGTGATTGGTCTCCTTGGAACTTGCACTGGATGGTGGTGGCTGAACCTTTAACAGCATGGCACCAGTTGGTACCCCTTTTGTTTCCCTGATCGATTGTTTTCATGTTACACACGGTTTCATCAGAGTAGTGTATATCACAAGGGTGATCTCTAGCTGCATGATGCTCCAGCTTGGCAGTGACATATATTTGACACAACTTTTTTGACCATGGAAAGTGTTTGTGTGCAAATTAATTATCAACAATCAATTTGTGGTTGTTGTGCTGTGCTGTGTTGTTATGTATATTCTAACTAAATTATATGCAAAATAGTTTCCAATTTTTGAAAATGATATGGATAAAAAGTGTATTTTTATATTATGTCTAGGAAAACTAATTGCTATTTGATATCCACTGTTGTGCCAACTTAGGCTTGAGTTCTGAACAGTTTCTCAGTTAGGCCAGCTAGCTACTTCATCGTTTATCATGAGCACATTATATTTCTTAAACTGCTAAACCATGCGTATTGTGCATAAAATTTTTATATAGAAGTTTCTTAAAAAAATCAAATAATTACATTATTCAAATTTATAATTGTTTGTATCTAATTAATCATATGATAATGACCTTCGTTGTTTTGAGTGCTGCTGGAAATCTCCAGCAAACCTCGCGAACAAACGCATCGTTAGCCGTCCATGCAAATGCATATACAAAATATTTAGTTAAAAATATTAAATCATTTAGGAGCCTGATCATACTTTGAGATAATGAGAAAACTTTGCCTGATGCATGCTTATTTTGTCTTAGTTTGTATTACTTCTTAGATTGTAAACCTCTTCCCGGTTGGGAAAAAGAAGAGTAAAACTAACATAAAATTCAGTATATTAATAGAAACAAAGTTTGAACCCTCCCATTCACCAGCCAATATTATTACTGTGAACCTTTCTCATATAAACAAAATTGTCTATATATTTATCCATTACTTAATTTTCAAGTTCTTCTTATGGTTTGCATTTCAGCAGCGCTGCTGGACGGTCGATCTCCTCCAGAAGCATGGCATTGATAGTCACTCGGCCTGCCCCTTTTGCGCTCAGGAGCTTGAGATGACGAATTACATCCTCCTCGACTACGTGTTCGCTCGGCAGGTCTGGCTCCGTATGCTGTCACCTCCTAGCTGGGCTGCCTCTCTCCTCCCCATGGCAGCTGGCTTCAGGAATGGTGGCCATCTTCTAGGGCCTGTTTACCTGAGTATCTCCGTGCTGGCTTCGACTCCTTGGTCCTCCTGATCTCTTGGCAACTGTAGAAGGAACGAAACTCCAGGGTTTTCGACTCTGCACTCTCTTCGGTCTCAGTGGTTCTAGAGTCCATCCTTTGGAATGGCCATCTATGGTCTTTAGCTAGCGTTGCTACTTTTGGGGATTTCATGGGAGTGTAGTTTGGCTTCGCCCCCTTTCCGCTGATTGGAGTTACGTTTAGCCATCGTAGTAGTTTCTTCCCTTTTCCTTGGTTTTGTTTTTTCTCCCTTCCCTTGGCATAAGCCGGTCTTTCCGATTGCGTTGTGTAAAAAAAACTCTTTTATTCTAATATATTGACGTGCAATACTTTTACGCGTCCGCGAAAAAAATCCGTTACTTAATTTCATTTCTCATTCTTAATTTGCATTTTACCACTCATTTTCATTTGTGATAAGAACTAAGCAAACTTATGTGTAAGACTTTCATTTTCAAAAGTTTTTTTTAAATAAAGTAATCTTAAAGACTTAAATAGATATTTAATTTTATAAAAATTATACCGTTTAGTAGCTTAAAAAATATATGGTAATCCACATATATTCTGTAAGAGTAAAAATAGTAGTGCACAGAGGTGTATGCACCTCCAAATGTCCATATAACCTGTTGCCAACTCCCTGAAACTCACTTTCATATCATGATTAGAGCAGGTACAATAGCAGGCTATTAATCAGCTATAAACATATTTTAATGAGATAAATGATGAGAGAGAAAAGCAGCGGGCTACAGATCTGTAGCCAGCTGCAGCACGGACTTCAAGACGCAATGTGTGTATGTCAGGTGAGACCATATATTAATATTATAGTAAGTAACTATTGTATGAATTGGCTATTAGATTGGTTATAAATGAATTGGAGCCAATAGTGGGCTATACTATTAAACTTGCTCTTATGAAACTACTCATTCTTAAGTAGTAATTACTTGCATTGAGAAGACATTTTCAGCTCCATTAATTTATCATTTTAGCACAATTTCTCAGCAGGGAATATCATCGATAAATAGAGTACAACGGTAACAACAACCATGCATTTATTGCTCGGAATATACGCAGGTGACATTGTGACAGGGGGTGAATAACAAATTAACCAACGCCATGAGCATTCATGCTTAGTTAGTTACCCTTATTGACCAAACCTCCAATTAACAAGGTAGTTTAACACACATCATGCTCGCTTAACTGCAGCAAAGAGTTGGAATCTCAATATATACAAAAATGTGTAGCTTCAAACCCATGAGGGCTGGGGAATCTAACCCCCTAACCCCAAACAGTGGGCTGCTGGTGTACGTGCCTAGGGCATCACCGCATGTGTTTATGCCTCATCACTAATTAGAATCTTAATTTCTCTCTCATCAAGCCAACGAGAAAAAAAAATTACTTAATTAATTAAGGCCACAAAATCAGTTCGAAAATTCTCTCGTGATTTCGCCGAGCCCAGAACCAGAACCAAAACCAGAGCTCGAGCTAGATTAGTTAACTAACATGCCTGATTCAAAAAAGGGAGTTAGATTCTATATATCTTCTAATATCATTGATTACCCTTTTTTTTTCCTACGCTAAGTATGCTTATGATGATTCTCTCTCTTCCATCATCACACACACTCTCTCAATCGCTTTCTCTCTCTTCTTCCTTGCTCTCTCATACAACCTCTATTTAAGCACCCCTTGCTCACCTCCTATCCACCAACACAAATCACTTGCAAAACCAACACAAACACAACACAAGCAACACACACAAGCTTCTCCTTCCAAAATACTCCTCAACTAGCTAAGTCTAAGCTTCATCGATCCAAGCAAGCTAAGCCATGGTGCTCCAACACAGTGATCGCATGGACAGCCTCTTCTCCCCACAGACGAGCTGGGTGAGCGGCCCGATCATCGTGGGCGCCGGGCCGTCGGGGCTCGCCGTGGCGGCGAGCCTGCGGGAGCAGGGCGTGCCGTTCACCATGCTGGAGCGCGCCGACTGCATCGCGTCGCTGTGGCAGAAGCGCACCTACGACCGCCTCAAGCTCCACCTCCCCAAGCAGTTCTGCGAGCTCCCGCGCATGGCGTTCCCGGCGCACTACCCGGAGTACCCGACGCGCCGCCAGTTCATCGACTACCTCGAGGACTACGCCGCCGCGTTCGACATCAACCCGCTCTTCGGCCACACCGTGCTCTCCGCGCGCTACGACGAGACGTCCGGCCTGTGGCGCGTGCGCGCCTCCTCGTCCGCCGGCGCCGAGATGGAGTACATTGGCAGCTGGCTCGTCGTCGCCACCGGCGAGAACGCCGAGAGCGTCGTCCCGGACATCCCCGGGATCGATGGGTTCGGCGGCGAGGTGGTGCACGTCGCCGACTACAAGTCCGGCGAGGCGTACCGCGGCAAGAGGGTGCTCGTCGTCGGGTGCGGCAACTCCGGTATGGAGGTGTCGCTGGACCTGTGCGACCACGGCGCACGCCCGGCGATGGTGGTGCGCGACGCCGTCCACGTCCTCCCCCGGGAGGTGCTCGGCAAGTCCACGTTCGAGCTCGCCGTGCTGCTCATGGCGTGGCTCCCGCTCTGGCTCGTCGACAAGATCCTCGTCCTCCTCGCCTGGCTCGTCCTCGGCAACCTCGCCAAGCTCGGCATCCGCCGCCCCGCCACCGGCCCGCTCGAGCTCAAGAACACCACCGGCCGCACCCCGGTGCTCGACTACGGCGCCCTCGCCAGGATCCGCTCCGGCGAGATCACCGTCGTCCCCGGCGTCGCCCGCTTCGGCAGGGGCTTCGCCGAGCTCGCCGACGGCCGCGTCATCGCCCTCGACGCCGTCGTCCTCGCCACCGGCTACCGCAGCAATGTGCCCCAATGGCTCCAGGTAAACACCCAATCCAATCACTGTTCCATTGCCATTGATGACGCAATCATTCTATCAAGAACATCTTAGCTGACGTGATTTGTGAAATTGTTCAGGGAAATGACTTCTTCAACAAGGACGGGTACCCAAAGACGGCGTTCCCCAACGGATGGAAGGGTGAGTCGGGGCTGTACGCCGTCGGCTTCACCCGGCGCGGCCTCTCCGGCGCCTCCGCCGACGCCATGCGCGCCGCCAAGGACCTTGCCAGGGTGTGGAAGGAGGCGACGAAGCCAACCAAGAAGAGCACGGCGTGCCACCGGAGGTGCATCTCCGTCATCTTCTAAGCCGCCGCCGGCCACCGTTGCTACTGCTACTCGATCCATCAATCCCCTTGGTTAAATTCGTTGTTGATTAAGATTGGTTCTTTCTTTCTTTCTTGAAGAATTAAATTAAATTAAGCTAGGAGAGTGTGATCATACTACGTTGCTAGGTTAGTGATATTGTAGGACACAGCAGTGAGAGTGGGAGAGTATAAAAAAAAATAAGGTTAATTATTTGAGAGTTGAAAAAAAAAGAAAGAAAAAGAGAGACAAGGTGGAGCCCTCTCGTCAGTGGGAAGTGAGAGCCCTAGGGGATTTTTACTGCAGCTAGAGGCGTCTGGTGTACAGAAGAAGTGAGCTTGCCAGTTGATGGAAGATGAGGCTCTTGTCATTGACCTATTGTTTCTTTTGTTCTATATATGTATGTATAATCTTATATAATATCCCCTACTAGTAGTATGTAGTGGCCTTAATTAATCTGATGATGATGATTAGTAGTAGTAGTAGTAGTAAGCACCTCTTAGTTTAGTTGTTACTGCCTCTCCAGTGACAGTTCTTTTGTAATCTTTGCAATCACCTTTTGTAACTCCCTTTGTATAACAACTCTTTACTTGAGAGTTGAGAGTGAATATATATATAACTAGTGTAATGTTTTGCTTGATTTTTACCATATTGTCAATTCCCTTTTTTTTTTTTGCAAGAACTACTACTACTGTTGCCTATAATATTTTGTCTGCATAAGTTTGAGCGCAGCTCTCATGCGTTTCCGAGGAAAAAAAGAAGAAGAAGAAACTACTGTTGCAGCACTGTATGCTGAGGTAGGATATATATGATGAACAACTAATAAGGTAGTGGAGAAATGAAATGTCTCTTTCATGAGCCATGATCAAAGAACCAAGAAACATGGTAGGGTGGGTATGGGCTGTGGAATTCCTGGCTTCTTGTCCTTTGGCTGTCCCAACACTTGGATCTGGGTCTCACTGTTCTGTCTCCAATTGGCTCCTGGTGCTCTGGAAAGCAAAGTCAGAATCAATAGATCTCACCCTGCCACACCACTCATCCTCTGCCCTCTACCTGGCCCTGGGCCATTTCCAAGATTCTTCAGTAAAATCAGAATCACTTCCACTGACAAAAAGGAGAAAAATCACTGCAAATGATCATATATAGCTAGATTCCCTTTCTACAGTTTTAATTGCAACTCCAAGGCAAACCCACATATATGGATATAAATATGTGCTATGATGGAAAGAATTTCAAGAATCAAATGTATCGCACACTCTCCATATCTTTTCAAATCTGAAAAAGATGCATGCCTGGTAGGTTCATGAGAAGGGGTTAGGCGCCACTCAAATGATTATGGCACAGTTGCCCCCAAGTGCATACATGATTATGTAACTACTAACAACTTCTCTGAGGTGCTACAGTTGCACCTAAGTGATATGATGAAAATACATATAAAATTTCAGTTGGGCAACTGATCCTGCTATTCATTCAGTATTTTTCAGAACTAGTCTGAACTGCCCTGCAGATAGCTAATATATGCTGCAAATTGTAGGACACATTCGGGCCTTGAATCCTTTCAAATTCAGGTGCCAACAAAAATATCCAGATAGTTATTATGGTCCAAGAGGGTTTCATTTATTTCATGCAACTCAATACATATGATGAGAGAATCAAGTGGTCACTGATGAGCATGCAGCATGCATGGTGAATGATCATTTCATCTGAAAAAAATTAAAAAAGGAGGGCAAATTGTTAGCTGTGTGTGGGTTGTATCCCAGGTAGCTGTAGTAGATATAAAGCCCCCACTAAGCAATAAAAAGAAAAGGGGAACAGGCTAGGAAGAGAGAGTAGTCCCAACACATGTGGCCCCCTTGGAGAGAGTGTCCCCAGCAAATCACAGGACATCTCAGATCTCCCCATCAATATCACTGCATAAGCAGATTTGGTTGGGCACAGATGAAAGTTCAGACCCTTTGTTTCCCATCATCTTGTGCTTCCTGAGGTGCCAGAGCTTTCCACTGTTCTTTTTCTCTCCTTTTTATTTTTTGTTTCAATTGATGCAACTCATATTCTTGTGATACTGTCCCTATGATGACTACCAGATCTCGGATCATCTTTTCGGTTTTACATAAAACGGAATATGATTCACTTTTTTCCTTGTTCACCCATTGTTGTTTTGGTTGCGTCATTCTGACCGTATGTTTTCCACTTTCTTATGAGGTTTTTTCCCTCATTTTCTTTATGTTCATTGTATAAATAAGATTATAAGTTCAGACTCTGTTAATTTGCTAGGTATCAATTGTGTTAATTAATGAGGAACAATCTAATGAGGTAAGAGCTACAACTATACTTCACCCCTGCAATAGAACTGTATAATTATTTACCCTTATTTTTGCCTGAAAATAAAATTTATCTAACCGATTTTGCTGCAGTGTTAAGTAAAAGAAACTAACCGTATCAAAATGAGATAATTTTCCCACCACATTTGCAAAGGAACCTGAGTTGCAAAACACCGTTCCCTGTATAGTTTGTTTTTTTTAGTAATTTTAACATCCTTGGAAACAGAAGAACAGAAGGTACCACATTTTCTAGTATAAAATTTGGTATACTAGCTAAGCACCTCGAGATAGTTTTAGTTTAAAATTTAGGTAACTCGAGGTACTTTCTCGAAGACCATAAAATTTCTCATTTTTTAGCAGATTTCTATGTTTTGTACTATTTCCTTGATAACTTTTAATTGCTTGTTAAATTTTTGCAAACTATTTGAGTTTATTGAATCCTCAACACCAGTATCAACAGATTTACTGATACACAAAAACCCAATACATTAACATCACAGTTTTGGATGGAACAAGGTACTAATGTCAATATAGCATCTTCAGTAGTTCCACACTTTGTATTTTGCATCTGCTTGATTATGCAATAATAATGGTGTTGTGCAGCTCTGTATTGTTTGGGATTGTACTGAGTAAATTTTCTGTATGGAAAAAAAAAGCCACATTCAATTTATTTAGTAGTTCATCCAAGAGTGGAAAAACACAAATTTCTTTTTGAGTCAAAGAGAAATAAATATATCTGAAGCAAAAAGAAAACATGTGAATGCGGCATGACAATTGACAATTACAGGATATTGTCTCCCAACATACATCTAAAAAAGCACCAAAAAATTGTGTTTTTGAAGTTTTCGAGTTAAAAAGGGACACAAGGGTCCAGCGAAATCGACTAATTAATGTCAAGTGGTTTACACACACTTTGGTGTTGGTTAAGCTTACTGGAAGAGAGAAAAAAAAAGGTGAAGCGAGAAGCAGCAAAGTGGAAAGGGACTCATCAATGATGAAATGATCCCCATCAAATATTCTGCAGCATCATGCACTTAATTTTGCACTGTGAATTTCACAGTGATTGCTGCTGCTCATTTGTACAAAATAAGGGGACCCTAACGAACAAGTATCCCTTTCTTCAGTTGTGGAAACCATTGCTGTAAAGGAACTAAAAAAACCTGTTTGGTCCACACTTCGCTCCTTTCTCGATCGACCACAGGGAAGCTCCTATCGTACTCTTGTAGAGTCTATGCTTATTATATCGGATTTGTTATAAATGTATCGTCATATTTTTCATGAAAAAATAATCAGCATGTAAATATAGTAAATTACATATGTAATTTAGAGACTTATGTAAGTTCTAAAATTACATACTTAAGTCCTTATATGTAAGTAATTACACTAATTAGATAAGCAATTGCACTAGATTTAAACTATAATTACATTTGGCATATTTTTACCAAAAAATCTGTCACCATATTTTTAAGATAGATCATATTATATTCATGTGAGCATGCAGTTGCACATAAAAACCTCCATCGTTTTCCGTTTTCTCTTCAGCTTCATCAGCCACATCTAACATTTAAATTTAGAAATTAGTTTTAATTTAAAAGAATCAGCTTTCTCTTCAGTTTTTTGTCATCGTATTTTATTTTTCATCATTCGCTTTCAAGTAAAATACACAACATAAAAGTTTTACCCTTATTTTTTTTTTCTAATAATGTTATGGCTTATAACCATGTGTAGGTGAAACGATGCAATCACTAAAAAGAAGAATATTTCGGATAGTACGAAGGTACTAAAATATTGTGACAATTCTATTTTTTTACTGTTCTTATTTTATTAAAAAAGGTAAGGTAAAACACAGGAGTGTTTATGTGTTATCGTGAAAAAGAAAATGTGTAGATAACGGTTTGTTGGTCCTTGCAGCGAGCGTATAGAGTTCCCTGTCCGCCAGTTCATAATTAAATAGTCTCAGTGAATTTCAGTTGAAACAGCACAATTTCTAAAGAAATCCCGTGAAATTCTCATATGTTTCGAATGCACACAATTTAGTGGAATGGAACCAGAAGAGCACGGAAAGAGAGGAATATGGAAGATACATAGACACATGTACAGTCCAAATTTACAAATGGTGCATGGTGCTTGTCCAGCCCAGTTCAAATTTGGCCCAATATATATGCATAAGTCTTCTGTTGGGACTTGGGAATCTCTTGTCTCCTCGTCTCGTTGTTTTCAGTAAATTTTAGCTAGAAAACCTCAGGGTTTTGGGGTATGCCATATGCGCAACGCAATCTGCTTCTATCAGCCTTAGATCGTAAGATTTCTGAAGAATACTCATTTATATTATTTTATATGGTATTTTCAGTACATATTCACATATAAATAGGCTCAAAAAGCATTCCTCATGTCTAATTTTTGTTCCTCGCTCTCGTACTGAAAGTTTTGCACAATTTGACAGATTAACCGGTTGAATGAATAAACACAAAAATGGTTTATACTTTCAATAATTAACATGTATTGAAAATACCTAAAAAAACAAGTATTGAAAATAAGAGTATTTTTACAATTATTATATATAAATTTATCAGCCAAATAGATAATATGAGCTTGAACATGGGGTTCTTTCAAACATTTTTCCTGAAAATAAATTGAAATGTATGTGGTTTTGTGTTATATATGACCAAAAATTACGGGTTTGTGAAATTTACTCTTGTTTTTCTAATTTGTTGGGCTTTGCAAGTTAGCCCATAATCTATACGTAATAGGGATGGCTCATATTAACTGCAAGTGGGCCAGCCCATGGGTTGTCTGCTAATATTTCGTGGAAAAACCTAATACCACATTAAAAAATCAGATAAATTTTGCACCAAAGGATCTGGAACGAAAATACAATTAGGCCCACTTATAATAAACTCATCTTACTCTGCATGACCCAACTATCTTAAGCACCTTTTGCCCATTATTTAACGGAAAAGGTTCATTTTGCCTTGAAGAACTGTAGACTGAGTTTAATTTAACTTCTTCAACCGCCATGGTAGCTTTCTCAATTGTTGAAACCCGGATCAATTTATTTTCTGAGATATTTAACTATTTACGGCTTTTAAATGTGGCATTTAATAATTTATCACTGTTGATGGTCCTTAGGTACCAAATCCTACTGTTAAATCCTGCATAAAAGCAAACAAAAGAATATAAAATGAAATACCAAACTTAAAGGTAGTGGTTATTGCTAACCATTTCCACAAGTCTTGGTGAAATTTGTATGCAGGTGAAATATGGATGAAATCCACCTGCTATGCGACAAAGCAAACCTCTAGTTAATCAGACACGAGTACACGGATTG